TTTCTCTGAACGCTTTCTACACTATCCGAGTGGACTGAGTAGCAGGGAGACCAAATTACACAAGCGTACTCTAAAATACTACGGACAATTCTGTAATAGACGGTTAGAAAACTTTGAGCCCGTTTTTCATTAACAAGTCACTATTCTTCTTAACATAAATTACATTTTCATAAATGTACTTGACTAGCGTATAGCGTATGTAAGAATGTTAATCTCTTTAAACTTATCTCTCAAAGACACTCTGGGGACCAAATTGTAAATTGCCCTAACCGCACGTTATGTTATTGAATTATGGTAGCAGGCTATTAATTAACCTGTCAGTTGCCAAGCATATAATTTGACACCACGATAATTATCCAATACAAAATGGCGGACGCGGACGAAACAAAATGGTGGTCCACCCTTATTTAAAATCACGATTTAAGCTATTATTTGTTGATATAGATATGGAAAACATATATTTTCGTAATCTGTATAAGTTTCCTCCACCGGCTATGCATATTTAGTAATAAAATAAAATGTCTGGTTTATTTACTAGGCCAGGTTTTTTTTAAATGCCTAGACTAGGCAAATATTCGTAATATTGAAATGTTTAAGCTTTTTTAAATTTATTGAGCTTTGGCTACGACGCCATCTGCTGAAAACTACATAACAATTGTAAAATGTTTAAACATTAATATTGCCCTTATTCGACGGTAAAAGTATGAAAAAGTGTTTTTCTCCTGAAAAATATTTGAAGTAAAAATGATATTACATCTAGCAACACTAGGATAAAATATAGCTAACTTCCACTACAGATTAATTTTGTTTATCAAAACAATCGCGTAAATAAGTTGAAGAGTTGTCGCCGGATTATTTTCTACGTATTTTGAAGCTTTATCGAAATTTCATTTCATCATTCAATTTGAAGTCAGCATTTACCAGTGTGTGTAAAGGCTTTGCCAACTGAACAACTCGTATATTTCAAATATCACCTGCATAAAGGTAAGGAGAAAGGTATTTCAAGGAGATAGTTTGTTAATATTATATTTTGATAATTTGTATATATGTATATTCGTAAATAATATTTATTATAATTTATACATGTTCCTTTTTTTAAATTTAAATTGTTTTTATTTATTTTTATTTATGTTTATTTTTTTCTCTCGACAATAAATGGCACTGGATGAGGATTTCATTCCCGGTAGGTTTGTAATTGCTGGTATTCAATGTTAGTATTCAATGGTAGTTGTAGGCCATACAAATATGTCTCCCGGCCCGGGAATCGAACCCGGGATCTCTGCGTGGCAGACCAGAATGGTAACCGTTCGGCTACGAAGACAGTTAATGTAATTTATAACCGAAATCAATGGATATAAATGTCATTTTATTTATTTATTGAGAGGTTATATAGCCACCAGCTTAAAAAGGTAACAAACAAAACGCCATAATACTTAAACTAGTAATTAATTCGTGTAAAAGCTACGCAGTAAAGTCCTTGTGAAAGAGTTCGTCCAGTGAAGTATTGCCAGTTTATCTATTTCTGCCGCCAAGCAGTAATGTCAGCATTACTGTGTTCCGGTTTTGAAGGGTAAGGGTGCTGGTGAAATTACAGGCACATGGGACTTGTTAACTTATGTCTCAGGGTGACGGGCGCAGTGGCCATGCCCCTCATGTCTTTTCGACTTAAAGTTCTGAGTGGCACTGCAACTGTTATGGACAGGCGTGTAGCTTACAGGCGCACCACTTGTTCGTCCCGTCTCTTGATATTATAAACAAAAAAACATTTTCCCTCAACAGCAGCAACTAGTTATCATTTTGCTTTCACTTATTCAATCGACTTATAATTTGTTGATGCTTTTCTGATGCTGCAACCAGGACAGTCTACCCAATTCTCTAACTACTTAAAGAATAACTTACCTACTTTACTTACCTGTTTGTCGTCGTAGGGACTTTTGCATTTTATCCCTTCTGTACTATGTTCTTTTTAATTCCACCTCTCCTCCCTACCTCGAAGATTGTTTTGTGTTTCATAGCACTACTCTAAGTAGCACCTTACTGTCTTCTCTTACTCTTTCTTTAAACTGTCATGTCCACTCTTCTAACTTTTATTCTTACTCCTTCAAGTTTAAAAGCATCAAACTGTGGAATTCCCTACCTGCTTCCTGATTTTGATTCAACCCGGAATCGTCCGATCGGGTTGTCTCGAAATCAGATGGGTTTCTGAGCGAGAAGATGAACCTGATTCCTACCATATCTTTCTAATTTGTGAGTTAATTAAATCAACTATTCCTCCGATTAGAAATGTCAAAAGTTTCCGATCGGCCAATCAATTGTGAATCGCAATTATGCGCCTCGACTCGGAAAAGACGCAGTTTCCGATCGGGAGAGGTAATCAAAATCAAGCTGGTGATGAATCGATCAGACGTGCTAAATCTTTTGAGTCGTTCAAAACTTTACTGAAAACTCATTATCTTGTAATATAATTATCATTTTTCCTATTTTCACCTGATTTAAATTTTGTGTGTTATGATTATTAAGTTTTATATAATCCTACTTCGATGTATATAATCCCAGTTGGCTGATGAGTTGCCATAGGGATGGATGGCTCTTATTTCGTCTCTATTCCTGGTTAAATACTCGATTTGTGGAGGCCATTTACCCGACACGCCTTACCACACGTAACCCTATACCATGTACTTCATGGATCAATAAAAAATTACAATTTGTAATTATAAACCTGTAATTTCTGTCAAAATTACTTCTGGCGTAAATTTTGGGACACCTTAAAAAGTTATCGACTAAATTCGTTCTTAGAATCTTTAAACCTCTCCAAAAAAGTTGTCATGTGGCAGATATGGTCTTATTATACTAAATGTCTCACACATATTAAATTTTTACTACGCCTATTTGTTCACAGAACAATGACGCTGTTAATAGCTCTATCGTGCCTCCTGGCAGTGTCCGCTGCCTCGGACTCGGACGCTTGCTACAAAGACGTCTCGTTGGACTGCTCGCAAACATCTAGCAGTTTGAGTAAGTACTCGAAAAAATTTATAATTTTTTTTAGTTCATGAAAATATCATTCAAGTATAAAATAATTACTTTATCACCTCACTAGCTCGGAAAGGCTTTATTTCTCACTAAAAATCTGCGCGCAAAAGCGTTTTTTGAAAAGGTTTTTGAAATTGGAATTGTCGTGCCCTTAGACTAAGTTTCCATTTTCCTTTGATGAGAAAAAAAGACAATGAGTCGTTCAACTACGTGATTTGTTTGTAATTATTTATTTATGTAATGTAAATACGTTGCTCCATTTTATTCTTATTAATTATTGACACTAAATTGACCATGATAACTAATTGTGTTCATTAAATTATTCTAATTCATCGAATAACTAAAATAATTTCAATAATCACTTAATCACACAAAATAGTATATACAAGCAAGTTTAAAAATTGATTAGGTGTAAATTCTGAACGCATCCGAAGATAAACTTTTTTCTTTTGAATTAAAACTGAGGTGAGAGCGAATGCTCTGGACCTTTTGGGGGGAAAAGTGTCGTTTTTATTTTGACTTTCAATTATTTTGTGAAATCTAGTTTAAAGTGGAATAGGATAGTGCGATTGTGCCTTCATCGAAGATTAAAACGCGAAATTACACGAATCTCTAACTAAAATACCCGTATCGGCCCGTTTGAAGGAATCCCGAGTCAATCCAAGCACGCCGCCTCAAATTGCCTATCCTCTTTGTGGCGGCCATATTTACAGAAACATAATTAAACTTCATGTTTAGCCTGATGGCTTTGCCAAAGCCTTAATAAATTTAAAAAAAAAATTAAAACTGAGGTTTTTGAAACACAAAACCGCGAATTGCTGTGATGCGATTTCGTGCGGCAAGGAATCTCACTGCCCGTGATTCGGGTAACCATTCTTTCGACGAGTATTGTACAGCTGTTTTTAAAGTATAGGAAAAAAAACACAAAGAATAACATCGCAGGAATGCGCGATGCGGAGCAATTCGCACATTCTTGCGAATTGCTATTTCAACTGTTTTCTTTCAATCTACCATTTTCCTCGCCATAGTGAGGTGAAAATTTGTGTGTTTCGCTCGGCAGCAAAGTTGTTCTGCGTTTCGTGGCTTGAAACCTTCCCTACGCTCAGGAATTTATATTTGAACTTAGCTTTCTTCGCTTGCTCAGGTTTCAATACAAGCACTCGCGAAAAACAACAACTTTGCAGCCTTGCATAACAAATCGACGCCTTACTTTCTCAAACTCGTGTCTTGTAAAGAGTGATTATTCAAGAGATGGCACAACGTTATATTTATTTTAAATTTCTTATCAAGGGTGGTAATTTGGATGCATTACTTTAAGAATAGGTAAAAGCCAGTGTGTGAATGTGAAGGAAATATGATGTAAAATCTGCCTCCAAATCTGTATATACTATGCATTCTTTGCATTTCAGTTACTTTGTCCTTTAAGATACGAGATTGAGAAAGTAAGGCGACGAATTAAGTATTTCACCTTACTAGCTCGGAAAGGTTTTCTGTCTCATTAAAAATCACTCAAAAGCGCGTTTTGCACTGTAGGTAGCCTGGAAAGTTTTTGGAATTTGAGGTTGACGATGCCATGATGTTAGTACTTTAATCTTTTTTTCCATCATAAGACTTCAATACACTCATGTTTCTGAAAAGACAGAAAAGTTTGAAGACAATCGGGTAGCCCAACAAACTTTTTTATCGGCCGATACCGAATCGTTATAATGTGATAGATAGAAAGTCTATAGTGTGCGGGGACTCTTATGCTCTGGCCACACAGAGGCGCCCGCGGAAGCGTTCTGGGCGCGGGAATTTTTGTAATGTACGAGATCTTAGGAATCCTGGCACACTGAAACGCGTTTATTCCCGTTTTCAAATGTTAGTACAATACAACGCGAAAATTCAAAAGCGTATTAAAATGTATTTTTTCTCCTTTAGCTTTTCAAAACTGTAACGCCGTCTACGGGAAATATGGCAGCAATGGCAACGTAGCGACAGAGATGCAGGCCTACGCCAACCTTCACCTCGAGAGATCCTATCAGTTTCTTCTGTCGGCTGCATATTTCAACAATTACCAGACTAGTAGACCTGGCTTTGGGAAATTGTTTAAGAAACTATCTGACGAAGCTTGGGAGAAGAGTATCGAGCTGATTAAGCATGTTACTCTGAGAGGTAAGTGACCTGGACAAGGTGTGTTTTACGGGTTCAGAGCACGGAGATAATTCCGTTGCACTGGTACTCATATTAGATTTGTCGGTCTATAGAGTCCATTTCACAGAGCACGGGTACGGTGACGTTTAAGATTTGAAGTTTCTAGAGATGTATAGTGATGAATGGTCGGAAAAAGGTGTTCCACATACACAGATTGCCTCCAGTCACACAGGTTTGTAACCTAGCTCTGGAGTCAGGGACTTCATTATAATGTTGTACTATTTTTGTGACAATAAACATTATTATTATTATTATCGTATTTATTTTAAACTCTCGCCTCTCCCAAGGCCTAAAAGATTAATTTTGAATTTTTAAATGGGAGAGGCGGTATTTCCCGGTATTTTTTATTATTATTATTATTATTATTATAGATACACGTATAGATATAGCTACAAGGTGCGACATCACCAAATATTAATTAATTACCTTTTTCGAATTCTGGATTTCCATTTCCGGAAATCCGGAATTTACGGCATCGTAGGACAAACTGATGCTAGGAAGTCGAAGTTGGACAGTGTTGTTGCCGTTCCGTCAATGTGACCGTTAATACGCGGGGTGTGGTGCGGTATCTACAGCTAGGGAGGGGTGGAGAGTGACCATTCTCGTAACTTTTTTATTCTCTGCTTTGGCAAAAGGTCAGTTATCTACTGATTATCCTTAATCCTATAACGATTACTGTAATGAATGAATGAATGAATGAATATACTTTATTGCACAGATAAACACACGAACATAAACACATGTACAGATAAACATACGCACAACAGGCGGCCTTATTGCTAAGTAGCAATTTCTTCCAGGCAACCTTAGGATAGGAAAAGTACTTAGAAGGGGGTGCAACCAAGAGAGTGTACATAGAGTGTACATTTTTTTGCATTTTTAATTGGTTCGATTCCCGGCTGGTAAGTTTTTTAAAAAATCTGAGAATGTACTTACGCTAAAAAAATTAAAAGAAAGTTTTCTTCAAATATTTTTTTTATAATATCAATTCACGGGACGAACAAGTTCTGTGCCTGGTTGTAGCTACATGCCTGTCCTGCAGTGCCACTCACTTTTAAATCGCAAAGATCCGAGTATCTCCTCCTGTCACCACGAGAAATAAGTTGACAAGTCCCATGCGCCTGTCAATTTCACCAGCACCCTTACCCTTAAAATCGGAACGCAATAATGCTTACATTACTGCTTGGTGGTACAAATAGATACATTACCTGCAATACCGTACGGACGACGTTGATGTACCTGTCGCGGCTGCATTACTCCACGAAGTCTGAGGAGATAGTGGAGTATATCAGGCATAAAGCCAATTACACCCTGAGGGTCGAGCGGTTGGAGTCTCGCCGCAACGTGAACTTTAATTCGTTTGTGGTGAGAATACCAACCGAACATCTTTCGACCTTCATGAAAGAGGAATTTTGGCCGAAGGGTGTCATATATCGGCGATTCCGCGGCCGGTTACCTGACACCAGATTGCGCCGCACGTCGCCGATAAGTGAAATCGTGTAGATTAGTTTTTATTATTATATTGTATGTATGTTAGTTTTTAACATTGCTTAGAAATAAATGGACGACGGGTCTAATACAAAAACCACGAAAAAAATGTCCCAAGTCAACCTATTCGAAATTTAAATTGTGATGTCATCGCAGTATCGCGCTGTCAGTAGAACAAATGAAGACTAAAGCGGAGTTTGGCGCTCTGTATACGATTTTAGCGCCTTAAAAGTGCGGACACTTTTTAGCGCGGACCCGACGTCCATATAATTGTAAGTCAATGGTTTTTAAGGTATATATAATATAAGTGTATTTTGTTTTTGTATTGTTATGTATGTTAGTCTATAAGGTATGTATACATGGGTCTTTTTGTTACCTGATATAAATAAATAAATAAAAAAATAAAAATCTCCTCCCCTGTACGAGCTCGTTCACAAGTAGATATACTGCTTCTAAAGTAGTTCTCCTTCAAGTCCCGTTGATTGTTTTTACCCTGTATAGCTATAGTAATTTGTTCCAATTAACATTTAACTTTGTGTCTTCTTCCAGGTGGCGTAATGGATTTCAGCCGCCGCTCGTCCCAAGACAGCAGCGATCGCCACTACACAGTCGAGCTGCACGAGCTGGAAGCCCTCGCAAAGGCGCTGGACACCCAGAAGGAGCTGGCCGAACGCGCTTTCCACATTCACAAGGAGGCGACCAAGGCTAACGAGAAGATTTATGATCCTGAGGTATGTGTAACTTTAGTAGCAGTAGAGGTCCTTGCGAAAGAGTTTGTCCAGGGAAGTGCTGCCACCTCACCTATTTCTGCCGCCAAGCAATAATGTGACCATTACTGCGTTCTCCTTTAGAAGGGTAAAGTTGCTGGTGATACAGGCAAATGGAACTTCTCAACTTGTCTAACGGGACAAACAAGTCGTGTGCCTAGTGGTAAGCTACACGGCTGTTTATAACAGTTGCTGTGCCATCCGAGTCTCGAAATCAGATGGGTTTCCGAAGATGAACCTGATTCCTACTATATCTTTCTAATTTGAGAGTTAAATCAACTATTGTTTCTATTTGAAAGGTCAAAAGTTTCCGATCGCCTAGTTGTGAATCGCAATTATGCGCCTCGACTCGGAAGAGATGCAGTTTCATAATAATAATAATATCGTTAAATTTGAACAAAACTCGTTGTAAATAGTTTTTGCCCTCGATTTTGGGCATTAATGGGTTTTAACCCGATTCAAACAAAGCGCGCCGGGTTAAAGGGCCCGGGCGTTTGCCCATCTGTCTATAGGCCCTTTTTGAGGGAGTATTGTGTCCTTATTGTTCTACCCGTTTCGGAGCTACGAATGCTACAGACATACAAAGACAAAACAGACACGGGTTTCAAACTTATAACTTCCCTCTTTTTGCACTGAGGTTTAAAACGATATCTCCAATTAATACTACGCCAACTTAATTTTTTTGACCTAGGGGCCTACTATGAGCTTATAAGCAGCCAGCCAAGTTCCATGCAATTCATTTGACGTTAAAACTGAATTGCTTAAATTCGTATCATGACCTACACAAGTTGAACGGGAATGGCATGACAGGATGATGGCTATGATGAGTTTTACTTTTTAAACGTTAATTATTGTCTCTGGCTGGCTGGCTGACATCTAACAAGAGCGAGATGGAACAACATACTAAATCATGTGAAAGAAATAGACAGATGTACTATCCTGGTAGAGTTCAAGCACCATTAACCGATTGTGTTCAATATGAGAATAATTATACTTTTTTTATTAATTTTGTTATTGATTATACTTATTGCGTTTGTTTTGTAATATCGGTAACTTTTCAATCATACTTTACAATTTGTCGTACGACAAAATTACATGTCATGTCTAGTCATTATCATTGAAATGAATAAGGTGAGTTTGTAATTTGATAACATAATTGGAACATATCTTGTATTCGTACATTTTCATTGATTGCACTAAAGTAAATTTGGTACTATTCAAAAGTTATTGTACGATTTTCGCTAAATCAATAAAATTATCAAAATGATTAAAATTCCATTTCAAAAATTGCAAAAACGTTCATGCCAATAATTTGTCAACAATACTTTAAAGATTGGAAACTCGAGCTAAAACATTAAAAAAACGCTCAATAGTTAATTATTAGTATTTATTTATTGACAATTGGCTACATAGCCTAAAAAGACGACAAATAATTATGAAACTGGAAATATAATAAAACTCAAATAAAATTTCTTAAAAATGTAAGAAAATTCAAAAAAAGTTTGTCACGGAGTAACTTTATTTAAATTGCTTATTTTGACAGATGAGACCGCCATGTGCATGGCAAATAACACGTCATGATACGTTTTTACTATGATAGAAAAGGTGAACGGATTTCGAATGGGAAAAGGGAACGTAAACTGCATGGACAGTGAATTGTTTTTGTGAGGTCTTAGTACGATTTTAACAGGCAATCCAACTCACAGGCTTAAATAGGATTGCTCTGAGAGCTCATAGTAAGCCCCCTGGTCTGTTTTATTTTATTTTTTAACCGACTTCAAAAAAGGAGGTTCTCAATTCGACTGTTTTTTTTTTGTATGTATGTTACGCGATAACTCCGGTATTTGTGAACCGATTTTCATGATTCTTTTTTTGTTGTAAAGGGGGTACTTCCATAGTGGTCCCATTTCATTTTGAAGAAAATCATCCATCTCGAAGGGTGGCTGTTCACGCATGAAGATTCACTTTTATAAATAGCGCCTAACTTTACTTTAGGAGCAATTACGTTAATGGTTGATTTTGCTATTTCTCCCATTCAAGGCGTTTTTCTCTCAATAACTTAGAGTAGTGTCGTAGTGAGAACCTATTTTTATTATCTCCAGCGTCAAGTCCTGTATAGTGGCGAACTAGGGGATATTTCAATAAAACTTAGCAAATAGACGTAATTCCACGTACTTTTGAGGTCGGTTTTTTTAGTACTCTGTACTGAGATTATTGTTTCCTAATATTCATTTCACAAAATACGTCTTTATTTTTTTTCCAATTTTTGTTTCTGTTTTTACAAAATTCGAGGCGCATAATATATAATATTAGTAAATAAATATCAATGCCTTAGTTTCTCAAACTCGTGTCATAAAAGGAGTGATTATTCAGGAGACGACAAAACTTTCTGTTTACATATTATTTTAAATTTCTTATCAAGGGTGTTAATTTGGATACATTACTTTAAGAATAGTAATAGCCAGTGGGTGAATATGAAGGAAATGTGATGTGAAATTAGCCTGCAATATTTGTATATACAATCCATTTTTTGCATTTCAGTAACTGTGCTTTAAGACACGGGTTTGAGAAAGTAAGGCGGCGATATGACTCTTTACAAAAATAACAGAAAATGACCAAAAAATAAAGTTGACGTAGTGTTGTTAAAATTAAAAATTAGAAGTTAAGAATGTTGAAAATTGTTAAAAAAAATTTAATTAATACAGTGAATAGCGACATCTCTCGCCAGGACTGGTAGCTGTAAAGGTACTAACTGGGTGATAAATCTGTAGCAGATTTCTCATAGATGGCGCTACGACTAAAAAGTCGTTGAAAGACCAAGTACAAAGACACGACGCAAGCACATAGAAAAATTCGTGAGGTTCGTTGGTTCGTTCCGTGACTTAGTTGGTATAGCGTCTGACACGGTATGCAAGAAGACGTCGGTTCTAATCCGACCGGATCGAAGGAATTTTTTCTGAGTGTTCGATCTTTGTATTAATAATTATAACAAAAATTGTTTGTGTTGACGATGTTTGGAAATGTTAAAATTAATCAAGTATAAGTTAAAAATGTTAAATATGCATTTATAGCTATGGAAGAGCGGTGCCTCCTGACACAGGCTTGATAAGCTTAATAGGAGGCACCATCCACTGTTAACGTAAAGTTAATTGTATTACAAAAATAAACATTTTATTATTTATTTTTATGTTCATTGGAGGTATCGAAAAAATTATAAATGTAAGCAGCGCCATCTCTTTTAATAAGTAGCTGATGCAAAGAGAGGAAGCGCCTGACGTTTTCAATATTTTTGTCAACAGATTACCCAGTTCCTAGAAGAAGAATTCATGGAATACCATTCAAACAGCATCAGGGACTTGGCAGGTCATTCAATCAACCTCAAGGAATTCATCACAACCAACAACGGCCAAGATTTGTCACTGGCGTTGTATCTTTTCGATGAATATTTGAAGAAAATTGTCTAAATTTGCAGAAATTACTGCAAAAAATTGATTAGGGTTGTAGTGCGGTGATACGAGACTTGATATGAACAGAAAAACAATTCGCAGTTAAAAAAATATTCGTGTATTTAAATTCAATAAGAAGAAAATGAAAAGAAATTTAATTACATTTGTTCTAATAGGTTTGATTCAAGTTCTTCTTTATTAAGTGTTGCCAAGAAATAATTTTCAGGGGTTTTTTGTGGGCATACATCAGAGTTAGAAAATATGTTAGCCAACGTCAGAAACGAATAGTTGTGCGTGCTGTCTCTTGAGATGTCTTCGAAGGGAGTCTTTTGATTTGAAACGTCCTTCGCAGTTGGTGCATGAGAACAATCTGTTAAAAACAATAAGGTAAAGTGACTTGACAAAATATGTGTAACTGGGGTTGTTTTTCAGAACAACTTCAAAACCTTCTAACACGGCTTTTCTATATCTAAAACCGACAACTTTTGTTGTATGACTGTGATATACTCATACAAATCATTGTATGTATATATCACAGTCAAACACCAGAAATTCTTTGTTTTGACGTTGTTTGGATATATAAAAATTAACTAAATTAAGTATAAGTTAAAAATGTTAAATGTGCATTTATAGCTATGGGAGAGCGGTGCCTCCTGACACAGGCTTGATAAGCTTAATAGGATGTATTACTAAAATAAACATTTTATTCTTTTATTATTATTATAAATCAATGAATAGACGGATAACCGAGCACGGACATGAACTTCATTAAATTGGTTGGTCTGGATAGTGTGGATAAGCTGCCGTCCACTAACTAAAACACGGCAAAGCTCAACTCACTGGCGCAGAGTCGAAGCGTCGCGTCGCGTCCTGTTTTTCAACTACACCGCCTGGCGACGCGCGAACCCGCTCGTTTCCATATTTGCAAAACACAAATTTGTACCTTAATAATGGGAAAATATAGATGAATATGCTATAGGCGAAAAACATGACGCGTCGCGACGCTTCGACTCTGCGCCAGTGTGAGTTGTGCCTAAGTGTCAAATGGTCAAATATTCGTTTTAAATAGCAAAAGATAGAGCACAAAATTCTCTTTATGCCGCGTCACACGGTCTGGTATACAATGTAAAGAAGTCAGAGGTCATGGTTTGTGCGGCAGGAAGTAAGTGTCCTACTGTTGTACCACCGATCATATTGAATCGGGTAGCTCTTAACACAGTGTTTAAATTTAAGTATCTAGGACATTTAATTAAGCCTGATCTAAGAGATGATGATGATGACATGGAGAGGGAGCGTAGAGCTTTGTCAGTAAGGGCTAATATGTTGGTTCACAGGCTTTCAAAGGTTCTCTTTTCGAGGCTTACTGTTCTTCTTTTTACGCGGGTAGCCTGTGGTACCGACATATACAAAAGTCGTACATTGCTCCCCGCACCCAATACAACAATGCGTTTAGGATGCTGTTGCGGCTGCCGAAGTTCTGTAGTGCGTCTGCAATGTTTGCGGAAGCGCGGACAGACTCCTTTTCTGCCATACTACGGAAGAAAATTGCTTCTCTTTTAAACATACTTCGTAACAGTAGCAACGGCATCTTGAAAATGATTGCTGAGAAAGTGGAGGGAGCTCTCATAAGGAACCTCATAGAATTTACGCGATCTTTGTTTAAAATAATTTACTAACATAGTTTATAAATCTGTAACTACCTTAAATATGGATTTACGTTGTTCGATAAATAATAATAATTATTAAAAACAGTTAAAATTAGTTAACGTGTTCGATTTATCGGAACTTATCCTAACGATGCATAGACGAAATAACGTTAAACAATATCAATATTCTAAAACTGGGTTATGGTTTTTTATGATATCTCAAAAAAATATTTTGTCACTTTTTTAGTTAGCGGATGGCTATCCCTTCGGAGTTAATTATGTTATTCTTGTACTATAGGGAATTCTGTAGTTTAAGATCAAGTGATTTGGTGGAACGGCATATTATCATAACCGGCTGCTGTATAAGGCGAAAGTCTATGGGGTGTTGCATTTTATAAACGTTGCGCCACGAATGTTTCCCGCCAATTATTAAGAACGAGAAAAAGTATTCACTCTTTCTTAATAAATTGAAATTATACCTAATTAATAAATGTTACTACAATTTAAGTGAATACTTTAATGACAAAATGTAATAATACTGTAACAAATTTTTATATATTCATAATATGAAATACGCCGGAAAAATAGGAAAGCGGAAAATAAAATTATGTATATAATCATACTTTAAAATTGACTAATTCAAACTAAAGAGAAATAACTTTTTGAAATAGTTTTTCGGCCGTGGTGTAAAGGTCCATTTTTCGAGATACGACAAGATCGCTTTCCGGCGTCGATTATTGTAATTTAATTCAATTGGAATTTTCTGTGACATACTTTTATTATACATATATTGACAGTGAACAATTAAAGTGCATAATCTAAGCCTGGACCTGCCGCTGCTCTTATTGTTATCCCTAAGAGAGGGCTCACAAGTGTAACATTATTTTAATTTTAAGACCTTATGTACCATATGAAGACAATGAATATATTGAGTATTAAATGTACTTGCACGGAGCAACGGCGGGGTAATCGAGGGTAATCGGGCGACGCGGGCCGCATCCTGCAAACACGCTTAATTTGCCGGATCGAGCGCTCTTTGTGTGCAGAATAATGGTGCACATAAACTGTCCCGTTTACGGATGCAATATTAGAAACAAATAAATCACGGCCTTGCTCATGTTTCCCCCATTATTTTATAATTAAATAATTAAATTTAATAACATAAACTGAAAACGTGTGAAACATTATTTGGCAGTGCAACACTTGTAATTTTAATTACTAGATAAGTAATATTTAATCATTATTGTTTATTGGTAATAAATAATTATTGGTAATAAATGATTAGATTATAATAATAATCACATTTTTTTCCATTTTGTGACGACTCTTGCATATCTGCGCAAGTACTTACACGGGTGGCGGTATCATCGAACATCAAAGGCGTTGCGCGATTGTTGGGAAGATATTGTAATACTGTGATTTCTACAATTATTTGTAAAGCGTTTTTATTATCAAATCAATATCACGAAATTGCATTATGTCCCATAGAGTTAATTAGCTCTTAAGCTGCTTTTGCGAGTGATGGTCTGCTTATAGGTGACTCGGATTTAGTAGAGGCCAAACTGCAGAGCCGTGAACACCGCCGTAGAGTTGCCTGTTTATCGGTATTCTACAGGATATATCACGGAGAGTGTGACTAGACGTGGGCTGGGGTTCCACCCCTATGTTGTGGATATTCCCAGGACTCCCACGAAGCGTTTCGCTTCCACATTTATATGGTGAGCGGCGAGGGAGTGGATTTCACTGCCAGCGGACTTGTCCCCCGAACGCTATAACTTGGACCTTTTCAAGGCGAGAGTGAATAGGCATTATTTAGGTGTGCATGCTCCATTATCGTCGACTTCATCGTCACTCTCCACCAGGTGAGATGGAGGTCAAATGCGCACTTATTTTTAATTAAAAAAAGTAAATAAATATTATTATTAGAAATAGCTGCTACACTGACTAAAGATCGACAGATGATTAGCAAAAACAATTGCTTATACAGCAGCAAGACCAAATCGGAAAAAGGAGAATATCAGTGGTCTGTCTTTCAAGTTATCCTGATTACAATTCTTCAAATTGACGCAGGCATTTGGATCAAGAGTTTGCATACACATACGGCGACGTTCACGCACGAAGCAAACTACAAACAGCGGGATTCATTTATAACCTCGCTTTGATAGTTATTGCTTTAAAACGGAACGTTAAACAGACTTGTTGTTTCTGACAAATAGATGGCGTTAATATTAATTCGTTAGACAATTGTAGATATACTAGGTAATTATTAAAAGGGCAACACCTAATATTGCAATGTTGGCGATCCTGGCATGACAGGTTAGCCAACTGTGTAGAGTGTAGGCAGGCGAAAACCACGGGCGAACATTCTTTATTTGAAATGGCCTTGAAGTGCATCCTAATTAAAATAACTTAAATAATAAGTACACGCAATAAACAACTTGTTCCGTTGAGTAACGTTTTAATTTTCAAACCGCCGCAATTATGGAAGACGTAAATGTCCCTTCGGAGCTTGAAGCTTCGAAGCGAGACCCGTCAGGCATACAATTGAATGGAATTTTTAAATTAGAATTTGAATATAATTTTGTTGACCTCTGTGGTCGAATGGCTTGCACATCCGTTTTCATGATGACATCTCCGAGGCCCGGGTTCGATCCCCAGCCGGGTCAACATAAAAAAACTAACTTTTGTATAGTCTCGGGTCTGGGTGTTTGCGGTATCGTCGTCGTTGTTACCGATATCCTTAAAACAAATGCTTTAGCTACTTACTTTTGGGGTCAGAGCGACGTATCTGACCCGTCATCATCATCATATCAGCCGGAAGACGTCCACTGCTGAACACAGACCTCCCCAATAGATTGTTAGACTAGCCGATCGAACGTATCTGACGTTGTCTAAAATTTAATATTTATTTATTTAATTCGTTCATATACAAACCTAACGTCCTGATGCGTCCGTTCATGCCTCCTTTGGTCGCAAGATGTAAAAAAGCTCATCCCACAGAACTGGCAAGGGTGATTTCGTTCCTTTAAATGCACTGCTCTCATATGAGTCCTTAAGTTCACTGCACTAAGGAAGCTTTTCCCACACTCCTGACATACACTCAGTTGCCTCTTCATCCCATGCTCTTGTATCTTATGTTCGTTAAGTAAATAAGTGTATCTGAAGGTCTTATTGCAAAGGAGACAGTACCTTTTAGCTTCGCTACGATTGTGCACTTTCCGCATATGTTTTATTTTCGAGTAATTGTTAGAAAATGTCAAATTACACACGGAACACTTCTTTTCCTTGTGTATTGAATGCACGTGGACACGTAAACTTAATCTATTAATGTATGAGGCGCCGCAAATCTCACATACATGGTTAGAATAGTGACTGTTCATATGTATGGATAACCTATAGTATGTGTTAAAGTTTTCCTTGCATAAAACGCATCGGAATCCTTCTTCTAATTTATAAGGGATCAACATGTGATCCGAACCAGAAAACTCAATATTATGAGTTTGCGTTAAATGGTTCTGCAGGTCATCTAAGTTATTTAGTTTTGAACTGCAAAGTTTGCAGGTTAAATTTGATATATCTACGTTTTTGAACGACATGCCTTGCAGTCGATTGATGCACATTTTTAAGTATTTTGGATCTGAATGTAAAGTTGTATGGTTACGTAATTCTGTTATGTTTAAGTAAGAGTTTTTGCAATAAAAGCATTTAAATCTGGTTTTCAAGGAGTCGAAGAGGCATAAATTTGCATTGTTGATTAATTTTAACGAATTTTGTTTACGATTTATTTGTGATTGTGGAATTTGACGTTTTATTTTTTTTGGCTCCTGTAGTATATCTGAAATGAACAAAAGATATAATTAATTAAATTATCGAGGCTAAGGAATTGATTTGAAGCATGCTTTTCGTTGCATGGGATAGCAAGTTTAAAAAAATCAGAAAATTAAAAATTGTTTATAGCAATACTTTGTATAATTAGAATAAAGTTGGAGAATTTTCGCAAAAAATTCTAACCTGGGGGTCGATTCAGAACCTTACGATAACTCAGTAGTCAACAGATTCGATTTTGATGTCGTACGATTTCTTATCATTTTTATTCACGACACCCGAATCTAACGTCAAACGGTCGCATTCGAAACCAAACCGAAATGACGTAACACCCGTACGATTAATCGAACTTCTCGACCGGCAAAGGCTACAAACGTTATTCAGAACACAGTTATCGAATGAAAGTCACCGAACGTCCTATTGTTTACAAAGCAAGAATGTAATATGGAATTATTTTATTATTTTAAATAAAGTCTGGATTTTGGTCAATTTTATTAATTTATTTTAATGCAAGACTAATTCATTCCTATGGGGATGCACGTAAAGGGATTCTAATTTTTCTTATAATCTATTTCGCCGACTTCGTAAACGCTGCTGAATAACGATATTGTATCCGAATCCGTTCGTTTAACTCGGAATGTTCTGAATAGCTCGAAAAGCGCCCTTCGATTCGAGAACGACATCCAATCGAAAGATTCAGTTAAAATATCGAAGAGTGCTTAATCAGGCTCCAGACTCGACTTGATAGGCCGATAAAAAGAACGTACGAAATATTTTTTTTTCCATATCAAATAGACTTTAGTGATATTTTGGCACACGCCAAAAGGCATAGTAGTTGCCAGATACGTTATCTATTAAATCTATTTTGTCATTTTTAGATTCAAAAAAATTTGACTGTCTCAATTTTTTATGACTTCCCCTTTGTGAACGTCCTATGTAAATTTGTTAAGTAACAATTAGTTTCTGAACAGTCTGTGTATGTTTATGATGCCTGTTGTTGTAGATTCTCTTCTTAGCGAAGTCTATCGAAATTCACCGTTCGAAGTAATAAATGCGTGTCCTCCTTAACGTGACATTGGCGGAGTTATAACACTTTAAAGAGCGTGATACAAATGGTTCCTTTCGACATATAAAATAGTTTTTTCTAGAGCACTTCTTCCCTCCCAAAAGTCAACTCGAATAGACAATAATGAAGACTTTCTGGATACTATGATGACTTAAATCCCTAGTAGTGACCAGTTTAACTCTCGCAGGTTATTTCTATGCTGAATAAATTATTTTCTTTGTTTCTAAATGATAAATTAGTACAAATGTTTATTTACAAATAGCAATCCTTCAAGTCGACTTTGACGACATCGATGGCCTATGGTATGGTCCCGGGTTCGATGGTCGTAGGACCCAATCCGGAAATATACTATTCTAAATTGGTGCTGGTTTGGGTGTTCTGGGAAGTGATCCGCAGCTCTGGTACAGGGAATTCCCTAGTTTGAGACCAGGCAATTTGTATGTCTGGCACATATTAAAAAAAAGTCGATTCAAGTGATTTGACTAGTGTTTCAAGACATTTTTTTAATGGCGGACATTGGTCTGACATTGGCATGTTATTATATAAACTTACCTTTCTTACTTCTTGCTTTTCGTTCCGTAATATCTTCTTTATTATTATCATCAACATTAATAAATAATTTATTTCTTTCTTTTATATTATCTGGTTGTAGTTGTATATCTTCGTGTTCCAATTTTATTATTATTAAATTTCCTGTAACACAAAGTAATATAACACTTAACATGACATGTGGTCCAGTTAACGCACAAGTAAAATAAAACACATATGGTGCAATATAGCACATGTGGTACGCGACACATAATATGGCAACACTGTAGAGTGGAGTTTAATATAATCTGTGGAGATAGAACAATGATACCTAGTAATAAAATCAGGTCCTATCTATCTGAAACTATTTACATAAAACAGGTCCACTACAAAAGAAAATCATAAATATTTTTTTTATTTTATGATCTGTATTAATAAAGAACTTGATTAATGTGTAAACATTTACCTGATGTGTTGCCAGGGATGAATGGCCCTTATTTCATGTCTATTTTTGGTTATATACTCAATGCTTATCAGCAATGATCGGATAAACGTTTTCCACATATATAGATATAGAGTTGTTAAAACCACCAAATATTAATTAATTACTGTGGGGGCGGATTATGAGAAAAAAACGCCTGGTTGTAAATTGAGCTTCTTGGTCTTGGTTTTGCTTGGATCGCGGTGAGATTTGGAACGCCTTCGGAGTCTTGTGCAGTCAATTTTGGAATGTCGTTCCGCTCCCAACGCTCCGCTTTTTATATCATCGCTGGCCCGCCGTGCCGCTCGCATTCTATTCAAGTGTGCGAGCGGGACGGCACCAATGCAGGAGCGGGACGGGAGAACCCTACAGACTCCAAGCAAAACCCCTCTCTCCCTCTCGTTTATTTACCAAACCTTAAACTAAATTAACAACACCAAATAATAATAATAAATCACAATAATAAATTTACAATATTAAAAATCACATGGGCGCGAACACGTTTTCGTCCTGAACAATTACTTTTTCGAATTCATTAAAAACAACTCCTCTCTTGATGGTACTTGGTGCAATGGGCTGGTATGAAGATAAATAGCCGTAAATGGGTAAGGCTGTTAAAATGCCACTATTTCATCTGTGCTCTGACTGTGTCTTATTATGAAAAAAACTACTGTGTTCAGCAGTTTTTTTTTTTAAATAAGTATAAAATAATTTAGTGTGAACATTTTCGTTGTAAAAATATGACATTTCTGCTAGTGATTCGAATGTATAAACGTCTGTTATACTGTTTTTTT